ACTAGTCACTTGACTCTTCTGTGAATAGAGTACCGATCCCAAGTCTGCTACCCAGTGGGAGACCTTAGCCAATTCACAGCTTTGGGTATCAGAGGAAGCCAAAAGGATTTGTTTTCTGGCATGCCCCCATTATGGCATTCTGTGACTCCAGCTGGGACACTAACTAAAGCCTCTAGTTTTGTTTTGGTTTTTGTTTGTTTGGTTGGCTGGTTGATTGGTGTTTTGTTTTGTTTTGTTTTGTTTTTGCATGTTGGCAGCTGATTTGAATTGTTTTAAAATTCGGGATTGGCCAACAGCTCTAGGCCAGAAATGGTCTATTAGGCCAATTGCAGTCCGCTGACCCAAGGAAGAGTTTGACTAGGTGGGGACCTGGCAGGGGGGAATATCCCATACGTGAAGAACACAGATAACTCTGGCCAACGGTGGGCTGGCTGGTCTGAGCCCCAAAGCTCTACCGCTCCTACCCCAGCCCACCCTAAACGGCTGAGGTCAGCCTGGGTCTAGTTTCCTTTTCCCACCGGTGGGACTTACTCTCCACTGAAAGGTGGGCAGGCAGGAAAGGAGTGCGTTGCCGGCAGGAACCGGGCCCTCGGCGCTCAGGCTTTGGCTGTGGGTCCCCTGCCCCCTGGGTGCCCCAAACCCGAGAGGCGCGGGGATGCGCGTCGGAACCTCGGCTGCCGGCAGGTGCGCGGCGGCGCGGGGCCAGCGAACCCGGCGGCTCCGGGCGCCCCGGCAGCGCTCACGGACGAACCCCCGGGCGCGCGGCCCCGGCTGCGGGGCGGCGGGCGGGGCTCTCAGTCGCGGGGGGGCGGCGGCGGGGCCCCGGAGCCTGCGCCGCAGCCGGGGAGGGCCCCGAAACCAACCGGACGGACTTGTGGGGAGGAAATTCGATCCTCGGGCCCTTTGCTGCCCGAGCTTAAAAATGGATTCTCCATCTGCTGCGAAAGCCTCGGGCTCCGAGCGGCTGCATCCTGGCCCCTGGGAGTCGTGGGGAGCCCTGCAGGCACCCCGACCCGCGGAGTGCTCACCTGCCCCTTGCTCGGACACACACTGGCGCTCCCTGGCGCTCGTGTGCCTTTCGAAGGCCGCTCACCTATTTTCAGCCAAGCCCAAAGGGGAGATGATGCTCTGTCAAGTTCAAATAAAGAAACCTGGAATCCCCGGGTGGCTTGGCGGTTTAGCGCCGCCTTCAGCCCAGAGTGTGATCCTGGGGACCCGATATCGAGTCCCGTGTCGGGCTCCCTGCACAGAGCCTGCCTCTCCCTCTGCCTGGGTCTCTGCCCCTCTCTGTGTGTGTCTCTCATGAATAAATAAGTAAAATCTTAAAAACACACACAAATAAAGAAACCTATTTTATTTTTTAAGATTTTATTTATTTAATGAGAGACATAGACACAGGCAGAGGGAGAAGCAGGCCCCACGCAGGGAGCCCGACGTGGGACTCGATCCCGGGTCTCCAGGATCACGCCCTGGGCTGAAGGCGGCGCTAAACCGCTGAGCCACCCGGGCTGCCCCAGAAACCTATTTTCTATATAATTCAGTTTGTCCAGAAGAACTTTGAAGACGGATGACAACATTCAAGGACACTGTTAGCCTCACTCTATTGGTGAAACGTAAACAACAACAACCAACCAGATAAAACTTCTTTGGAGGCAATTTTGACATTTATGAATTTAGTTATTATTTCGTTTGTCCCCACAATCTCACTTTTTGAAGATTTTCCTACACAATGCTTTCAAAAAGATTTACGATGCCATTTTAGTGATAATGAAAAAGTGGAACTAACCCGACTATTCATCAATAGAGAAATAAATTGGCTGAATATATAATGAGTACACATATCAAGAAATACTGTATGTAAAAGACAAGCTCACAGGCAAACAGATCTAAGCTTACATTAAATGAAAAAGAAAGTGAATTATAAAAGACAGTAGATATGGTAGGACTCCATATTCGTTAAAATGCAGAAACAAATTGTGAGTAAATGTCTACAACTCACTCGGATAGCATTAGTGACTTCTTATTTCATAGATGATTTTACAGGAAATATATGTATATTTTACATGTACATACATCTGGAGAAATGTCTACCTAACTGTTACATTGTTTATCTTTGGGGTGATCCTGAGAGGAGGGAATGTGGAGCATTAACTTCCTACACTATATATTTCTTCAAAGTTTGATTTCTTTTAAAATAAGCATGCATTAATTTTGTATTTCCTACACACCAAAAACAATAAAGATTTTTTAAAAAATCATACCCCTTTCCATCCCAAGACCACCAGATGGTTATCACTTGTCCACTCTTCTCTGATCTTTCCATTACTATGTTAACTTTCCCTTCAAATTCTTCTCATCCCTGTACAGTATCCACTTACAAATTGCCTATTTAATGTGTGCAAATAGTTTTTTTAGATCCTTTAAACCCAAAGAATGAAAGAAGTGAGAATATTCCTTCCACTTTATCTATTCACACTATTCAAACAGAAAGATTAGGTGCAGCTTGGGGGGGAGGGGGACTTGAAAGCATTGCAATTTTTAATTCATTACTTCTCAAGTTTTGTGTGGATGTGGCACATATTCTCTCTCAATGCAGCCAACCAGGAGAGATCTTTATTTTTTTTTAATTTTTTATTTATTTATGATAGTCACAGAGAGAGAAAGAGAGAGAGGCAGAGACACAGGCAGAGGGAGAAGCAGGCTCCATGCACCGGGAGCCCGATGTGGGATTCGATTCCGGGTCTCCAGGATCGCGCCCTGGGCCAAAGGCAGGCGCCAAACCGCTGCGCCACCCAGGGATCCCCCAGGAGAGATCTTTAAAACACGGTTTTTGTTTCTTTTTAATCCAGGAAGGCAGAAAGGCATTACACTCTGAAGGAAATACCACTGAAAAGTTGAACAGGATTTTCAGGGACGGGAACTGGAGTGGGAAAGGCACTCTTGGCTGAAGGAGGGTCACTGTGAAAGAGGCTAGGAAGGGGAATGTGACCTGCACTATGGGCTGGGATTCTGGGATTGTTTAAGCTAGCCTGAACGTCGTCTCAGAAACATGAGCTCAATTCATACTATGGGAAATAAGCATGGCCACACTTCAAACATGCAGAAATGAAGGGCTCGTCTGGCATTTTAAAATATTTATATAGAAAAATGGCACCCAGCAGCAATAAACTGAGTTGGGTTCACTCTCACCTAAGTGTCTGATAGTGTTCTTTTTTTTTTTTTTTTGATAGGGTTCTTTATTACACATAAAACAACATTGTGGGCAGCCCCAGTGGCTCAAGCAGTTTAGTGCTGCCTTCAGCCCAGGGTGTGATCCTGGAGACTCGGGATTGAGTCCCACATGAGGTTCTCTGTGTGGAACCTGCTTTTCCTTCTGCCTGTGTCTCTACCTCTTTCTCTGTCTCTGTGTCTCTCATAAATAAATAAAATATTTAGGGGCAGCCCCGGTGGCCCAGCAGTTTAGCACCGCCTTCGGCCCAGGGCGTGATCCTGGAGACCCAGGATCCAGTCCCACCTCGGGTTCCCTGCATGGAGCCTGTGTCTCTCTCTGTCTGTCTCTGTCTCTGTCTCTCTCTGTGTGTCTCTCTCATGAATAAATAAATAAAATATTTTTAAAAATAAATAAAATCTTTAAAAAAAATCATATTTCCTCAGGCAAAGCCTCAGAATATTCCAGGATCATACATATAATTCAGTTTTTGCTCAGACTCTTGATGTCACTCTCCTCCTTTTCATATGCATTAGTAGCATCATTGTAAAATGCAAGTGTTCTGGAACAAACTACCTGGGTTCCGATCCTGACTGCCATGTATTAGCTTATGATTTTGGTCAAGTTATTTAAACTCTTCTGTGCTTCAGTTTATGACCTCTGAAATGGAGATAACACTACTCATTTTATAAGATGTTATGCAATTTATTTTTTAAATTTTATTTATTTATTCATGAGAGAGGCAGAGACACAGGCAGAGGGAGAAGCAGGCTCCTTGCAGGGAGCTTGATGTGAGACTCGATCCCTGAATTGGGATCACGACCTGAGCCGAAGGCAGACACTCAACCACTGAGCCACACAGGTGTCCCAGATTTATTTATTTATTTGAGAGAGTGTGTGTATGAGCAGGGGAGGGGCAGAGGGAGAAAGAGAATCTCAAGCAGACTCCCCACTGAGCAGGAAGCCCAGCTCCCCTGGATCTCAGAACTCTGAGATCAAAACCTAGGAGCCAAAACCAGAGTCCAACTCTCAACCAACTGAGCCACCCAGGTGCTCCTATTTATTTATTTTTATTTTAAGTAGGCTCCATGCCCAACATGGAGCTTGAACTCAGGACCCTGAGATCAAGAGTTGCATATTCTCCTGACTGAGCCAGCCAGGGGCCCCAAGAATATAAAGCTTTTTAGAATATTGAAAGTTCAATAACAGTCACCATTACCACTTACTCTCTTACAACCCCCCCAAAAACTTTATTCTTGCCCCATTCTCCCCTCAAGATACTGTCATTTCTGCATTCTCCAATTGTCTCAGTTCTATCCCTTGTTTCCTGGAGATTCTTTTTTTTTTTTTTTAGATTTTATTTATTTATTCATGAGAGACACACAGAGAGAGGCAGAGACACAAGCGGAGAGAGGAGAAGCAGGCTACATGAAGGTGCCCGATGCGGGACTCCATCCCAGAACTCCAGGATCACGTCCTGAACCAAAGGCAAATGCTCAACCACTGAGCCATCCAGGAGTCCCTTTCCTGAAGATTCCAACAGTAGCTCCTCCCCTGCTGTTTGCCTTCTCTCTCCTATCCAGTGGGTTGCAAATGACTGTACCATAGTCTCAAGAACACCTAATGGAAAACCTGGAGTCTGTTCTTCTTCTGTGATAGTTTCTGAGTTTTTAAAACAACCGTATTCACATATATTTTATATATCATAAAACTCACTTATTTGGGGTATACAACCCAACGATTTTTAGTTATTTACAAAGTGGTGTGATTATGAAAATAAAACATTTTTTTGAAAAATATGGAACACTTTATGAATTTGCATGTCATCCTTCAGCAGGAGCCAATGCTAACCTTCTCCATATCATTCCAATTTCAATATATGTGCTGCTGAAGCAAGCACAGAATAAATCAGTCTAAGATCATTTTCATCCCCCCCTCCCTACCATTGGACCCCTTTCGCCCTTTTACAGCTAATCTTTCCCACCTCCAGCTTCTGGCAACCACTAATCTACTTTCTGTTGTTATAAATTCGCCTTTTCTGGTCATTTTAGATACACAGAATCATACAATAGGTGGTCTCTTCTGTCTAACTTCTTTCGCTTGGCATAATTTTTGAGATTTATCCATGATGTAGCATATGTTAGTAGTTCAATTTCAATACTCTCTGTTTTATCACCTGTCAAAGCAGAATGATTTCTGTCATGTCTATAAGAATTATATCACAGAACATGGGGCCCCTGGGTGGTTCAGTGGTTGAACATCTGCCTTTGGCCCAGGGCATGATCCTGGGGTCCCGGAATCGAGTCCTGAGTCAGGCTCCCTGCATGAAGCCTGCTTCTCCCTCTGCCTGTGTCTCTGCCTCTCTCTGTGTCTCTCCTGAATAAATAAATTTTTAAACATCTTTTTAAAAAAGAATTATATCACAGAACAATATTGATAATATAGAGTTAAAGCTAACTATTATTTCACCTACAGTGCTCTAAGCACTGGCTAAGTGCTTTATTTGCATCATAGAACTTAAACTTCACAATTAGCCCATGGGCTACTCAGGTAATACTATTATATACATTTTTTGAGAACACTTAAGTTTAGAAATATGAACAGACTTGCCCAAGGTCACAAAGCAAGTAAGTGGCAGAGGGGCGGGGCTCAAATGTAAGTTTGTGTGACTCTAGAGCTAAAGCCAGAGTCACCTTCAAAATCAACAAAGGATCTTTGTATTTCATACCCTTCCGTGATCACAAAAACAAAACCCAGGAAAGCATTCATAGTAAGTCCACCAAACAGAAAAAGAAATGGTCCATGCCTTGTCAATCTCCACTTGTGTGTAAGGAATTGTCAGTCCATCATTTTCTCCATACCTGATGCTGCTTCTGTGCTGAGGACATCTAACTCCTCTGGGAAGGAGCTGGTGTCATGAAGGACTCAGTTCTAAGGGATAAAGATTTCTGATGTTTGAAGGGATTTTCCTGGGCACTGTCTTGATGCATCCCCAGACCAGGCAGCCCAGGAAAGCAGGATGGACCTTTACCCATCACCCTGTCTAACAGGAAATGAACATGTAGGAGAAAAACTTAGAATCCATGCTTCCCATTGTTAACAATTTTTAGGGTGGAACTCATGGCATTACATGGTAACAATGAAGGTGGGCCATTCTAATCTTCCACCCCGTGGTACTTGAGGGATTGTTCACTAGGAAGATTCTAGTGCCACGGGCTAGAAACACTCTTCTCTGAGGATTTCTAAAGAAATCTCCAGTTGTTATTTATAGTCATAGAACCGCTTTGAGGTTTTATGATGAGCCTCAGGCCCCGCATTTATGAGAAGCCTCAGACTACATTCACCTTCAAACATGTGTTGTCATTATTATAAATTTATTAATAATATTGGCTTTAGAAATAAGAAATACTGTAACAGACCATGCTTCCAATCTGTCCTAGGATTTTTTGAATAATATTTAACCATTCTCACTAGTCACAGAAGGAAGGGTCCTCAGAGTGAAAGATATTCATTTCAGAGGAACCCCAGCAATCACAGGAGGTGCCTAGTTGTTCTGTGAAGGGGTGGGAGTGAGAACCCAAGCCTTCAGTCCCTTGGAAAGATCCAGGAAAAGCAAGTACTCAGACAAATCCCATTCTGGCTCAGTAGCAACTAACTTAGATAATGGAGCCTCTTATTAATAGCACTTCATTGGTGGTGTGCCATGCCCTTCCGGCATCAATTAGGCATCAATTACTTGTTGAATGAAAAGAACTATTTGTTGGTGTTAAATGTCAGGATCCCCAGCTCCCCTTGGGGGGTAGTGAGATGCTGGCTATGTTCTGTTTCTCGATCTGCTGCTGATGACGCGGGTGTGTTCACTTTGTGATATTTTGTTGATTCTTATGCACGTCTTTGTACATAATATTTCAATAAAATTTGCCCCCAAAAGACGCGAATAAAAAGAGAGATATTTTTAAAAGAGCCTAGTGCAGTGCACGTCATGTAGTAGGTGGATATCACAGATGCGTTTACGGAGTAAAGGATCTCATCCGATCCTATCCTGTGGGGTAAGGTTACCGTGGCCCCAGGAACCTTCCAGGGCGGACGGGAGCTCACGACTCTGCCCGGGGCGCCGCTGGGTGAGTCGCAGAGCCGAGCCGCGGCCCCCCTGCCGGAACCCAGCCGGGAGCGGGCGGATCACTGCCCCCCTTTCCATCTGGCCGCGGCCGCCGTGCCCGCCCCAGGGAGGCCTTCTCGCCACGCCCGGGCCTCGGCCAGACCCCGGATCCCGCAGTTTCTGGGGTCTGGGGAGCTCACCGCGCTCGCCCCGCCCCGCCTGTCTCCCGCGGCAGCGTCCGCACGTCTGTCCACCGGTGTCTTCATTGCCTCCGACCCACCTTCACTCCCCGGTCCCCTGAACGATGGTGCCCTCCGACCCGCCCCGGAAAGAAGCCCCCCATTTACCATCACTGTTGGATACCTTCCTAGCACGTGATGGCGGCCGGAAGTACAGAAATGTACCAACAGCACAGCTTTTTCTTAGGTGAACCATGACGACGAAAGCCTCCCACCTGGGCTCCCCTTTACCTGGACTAGAATGCACAGGTTCACCTGTGGACCCGGAGTCCCAAAGAGCCTAGCCTCTGCCACCCAGCTGTGGTACCTTGCACAAGACACTGATCCCATGCCTCAGTTTCCTCATCCGCAAAATGGAAATAACAACAATGCCCAACTCCTAGGGGTGTTGTGAGGGTTACATGAGACTATCTCTGCAAAGTACAGCATCCAGAACATAGCAGGTGCTGGACAATACTTTCCTTACCTTTCCCTTACCTTTAGCCAAGCTGTGTTCCCAACATTCCTCTTGCATTTGCGCTGGTGAAAATCCCTCTCTCTGCCTGCCTGGGTCAGGGACACCCTATAGGATCGGGACAAGCACCTCAGCTTCTAGCTGTTTGCCAGAACCAGACCCCCATACCAGCACACTGCTCATCCTGCTGCACCCCTGGGTTCTTACCTCAGCCTTCAGTGCTTCCATCTACGTACGTAGTTGTGTCTCCCCAACTTTTTCTCATATGTGGACCCCCACACACACTCCCCCACACTTTTAGACTGTTAATGCTGCTGAAGGTAAGTACCACCTTGCACATATTAAATGCCAAGTGCTGCCTAGCACGGAGCCTTCCTGACTCAATAAATGTCTGTTCCTCCGCAGTAGGTAGGAAAGGTCTGTTCCACCTCTAGCCTCTTCCTCCCAACCACCCCTACTACCCCTCCCCCCATTCCTGCAGCTGGTGGTGCTAAAGACTAAGCTTCCACCCCCTCCCCCCAACTCAGAAGCCGTATTCACCCCAGCCGTGGTGACAGGTTGATGACTCCTATAACAGGCCCCTTTCCTCCTCTGGGGGGTTCCTGCCTGCATGGAGTCTGGTGCAGGGGCCACCAGCAGGGCCGGAAACCTGGGGAGAACGTCTCTGGCTGCCACTGACTTCTGTTACTAGAATTGATGTTTTTCTCCAATTACAACCTTCCCTCCTTCATTATGTCTCCTGTGTTCTCAAGGTAGTAAATACTGGGGATATGTATTACACTCCCCATAACTTACTTTCAATGATCAGAAAAAGCTTTTTTAAAAAAAGACTCACTGTTGACAGGGAATCTGCCTCTGAAGTTCAGAGTGAGGCTTCGAGAGCAATGTCTATCTGCTGAGCACAGAGATGATCACCTCCCCAATTTTTGTCTTCTGGGCCACTGTCTCTACCCAATGCATTAACAAGAGGTAGCAGAGATTAATGGTTGGAAATAATATCCCTGGACCCAATCCTAGTCCAATCCTGGGTTCAATGCTAGTCCAATCCTGGCCCTTTACTAGCTGGATGATCTTGGGCAAGTTACCAAACCTGACTGTGCCTCTGTTTCCCCATCTGTGAGATGGAAGTGATGGTAATAATAGTTCCTAGAGTTGTTACACAGATTAAATGAGTCACTGTGAAGGGATTAGAACTCTGTAAGCACTCCATCCATGATTTTTGTCAAATACCTAAACTTAATACATCTAAGACCCTGACTCCTAAAGATGTCTAGCTACTCCTAAGTGATTATAACCTGTTTTAAAGGAGATACTAAGGATCCCCCAATTTAACCCTAGGTGTATTATCAATTTTCAAGCCTGATAGAATTGTCCTTAGAATTAAACAATTTCTCTCAATCTTTACTTTTCTTCATTTCTGTTGTATGTATGTGGACACATTCTGGAAGGAAAATTCAATGAAATAGGAAAGAAGGAAGGAAGGGAGGGAGGGAGGAAGAAAGGAAAGAAGGAAGGAAGGAAGGCAGGCAAGCAAGGAAGGAAGGAAACAGAAAAGAAAGACAAAGAAAGAGGGAGGATTTGGTTGAAATGGCTGGATTGTAGTAAGATTCTTTGTTATTATTTTCCATGAGTGTTATAATAATAATAATCAGTTCAATAAATTACACCAAACTCATACTTTCCTGGACCTTACACTTTCCAGAAAATCTAGGTGAGAAGAGCTTGCTCAGAGTCAGACTGGCTGAGCTTAAGAGCTAGAGGAAAGAGATGACTGCAGAGCTATTAGGCCACTTACTGGATCAGAATCTGCCTAACGGTATCCTAGAGGCCACTTCTCACCTCAACACTTGCCATGGGCTCTCTAGTCCCTGAAAATCTCAACAGCACAGGTTGTAGGAAAGCTCGGCCATTTCCCACTTCAAGACCATGTATGCTAAGAAGGAGCTTTCTTCTATTCAAGGCTGCAGAAAAAAGGGCGTCCTGGATCTCCCTCCCCCAGCATCTATCCTAAACACACCTGCACACACACACATACACACATAGGCACCCTAGATTCGGTGTGCCTAAAGGTATGGATTATATGCCTTGGAAACTACGTGCTTGTCCAA